TACATTATCTACACAAGCATCCTATGCCTTGAGACTATATAGATCCTAACTTCTAATAAGAGCAGGATTCTATACTCTTATACACAGGTTCTCCAGAAATAGACATTTAGCAATTAGCACTCACACCAGTGTTTTCACTTTAATGATAGCTAAGTAACAGACTCACCAGCAATTCATTAAAATTCAACCCTAAGAAAATCTCTGATGATACCTTTTTATGAATTTGACCTGAGGCTGCTCACTAGAGGGAACAGAAATTGCATCTGACACAATAATGTGCTCTAACTGTAAAAGGTCCTAAAAGATAGGGAGTTCCCAAAATGAATAGGAAAGGGACCTCCCCAAAGCAGTGGTCAAAATTTTTTGGTTTCCTTTATTGATGGCATTTGGTTTAACATCAGTGGTTCTCAGATTCGGCTGAGCAGACTCGGCTGTTCATTAGAGTCACCCATGGAGCTTTGACCGCTTCCAGCCTGGGCTGCACCCCAAACCAATCAAACCAGAATCTCTGAGGGTGGGACCCAGGCATCAGTAGGTTTTAAAACTTTCAGGTGACTACAACGTGCAACCAAGCTTGAGAACCTCTGGTCTACAGATAAGCCATCTCTGATGATTGGATTATTGGCCGCAATTGTTCACTCTCCTGTGGTATGTAGGGCTACACATTCAAACCCTCGCCCTGGCCTCTTGGTGGGCTGAGGGTGTTTCCCCACCCCTTGACTTTGGATTTGGCCATGTGACTTGTTTTGGCCAATGGGCTGTTAGCTCATGTGATGCATGCGAAGGCTTGACCTGTGCTTGGTTGATGGGCTTGCTCTCTTGTGCACTTGCCTTTGGCCACGAACAAAGCAGGCCTCAGTCAACCACTGTCCCAAGAACAATGAGAGATGCACAGAGCAGACCTAGATCCAGTCAGCCACTAGGAGCCAAGCCCAGCTGAACCCTAGCTTGCCTACAGACATAAGAATGAGAAAGAAGAGCTTATTTTTGTAAGCCACTGAGTTTGGGGATGCTTTGTTAGGCAGCATTGGTGTGTAAAGTAACTGACATATGTAAAATTTTAAAAAATTATTTAGTGAGATGGCCAACTACATTTTGGGGCCAACTACATTTCTTTGGGCATGAAAGAGAGGAGCAACTTAGAACTATTTCTAAAGGAAAGTTTGACCCATAATATCTACTATGATGTAGCTTTTTGGAACAGTGCTACTGTCTTTGTCACCCTTCTGATCTGTTAAGCAGAAAATATTTCCTGCTGATTTCTTACTCAGTTTCACACAGGCCCTCCATCTAAACATTTATCTTCACCAGGGCAGAACTGGCATTCTGAATCATCAGTGCCCCAGGCTAGTTTAACAGGTTTTTTTCTTTTGCCTTCTTTTTTTTTTTTTTAATTTTAAAATTTAAGCTCTATCCAAGTTTTTGTGGAAAAACAGGGGAAAAAAAAAAAAAAAAAACGGGAAAAAACTACCACCAAAATATGAGCCCAGTATAGACTTAGTTATGGTAAAAGTTTCCTTACAGGGACCGGGTGGGGGGTCAGTGGTTGTGCTGCAGATGTAGGCCAAGTTAAGTCCACAGAGGCATGGATCTTTTCTCTCATATAAGAGCCCTCCTTAGGATTCACAGTTGTTCATATATGTGCATTTATAATTTAGGTAGTCTTGGATCTAGGACAGTGGTCTTCAAACCTGAGTGTGCATTGGAATCACAAGGATGGCTTTTTACAACACAGATTGCTGGACCCCACCCCCAGAGTTTCTAACTCAGTAAGTCTGATGTGAGACCAGAAAAATCTGTATTTTTTTAAAACTTTATATTGGAGTGTAGTTGATTTACAATGCTGTGTTAGTTTCAGGTGTACAGCAAAGTGATTCAGTTATACATATACATGTATCTATTCTTTTTCAGATTCTTTTCCCATTTAGGTTATTACAGAATATTGAGTAGAGTCCCCTGTGCTATACAACAGGTCCTTGTCGATTATCTATTTTTTATACATAGTAGTGTGTATATGTTAATCCCAAACTCCTAATTTATCCCTCCCCCCAACCTTTCCCCTTTAGTAACCATAAGTTTGTTTTCTAAGTCTGTGAGTCTGTTTCTGTTTTGTAAATAAGTTCATTTGTATCATTTTTTTAGATTCCACATATAAATGATATCATATAATATTTGTCTTTCTCTGTCTGACTTATCACTTAGTATGATAATCTCTAGGTCCATCCATACTGCTGCAAATGGCATTATTTCATCCTTTTTTATGGCTGAGTAATATTCCATTGTATATATGTACCACATCTTCTTTATCCATTCATCTGTTGATGGACATTTAGGTTGCTTCCACGTCCTGACTATTGCAAATGGTGCAGCACTGAACATTGAGGTGCATGTATCTTTTCAAATTATGGTTTTCTCCAGATACATGCCCAGGAGTGGGATTGCTGGATCATAAGGTAGCTCTATTTTTAGTTTCTTAAGGGACCTCCATACTGTTCTCCATAGTGGCTGTACCAATTTACATTCCCACCAACAGTGTAGGAGGGTTCTTTTTTCTCCATGCCCTCTCCAGCATTTATTGTTTGTAGACTTTTTGATGATGGCCATTCTGACGGTGTGAGGTGATACTTCATTGTAGTTTTGATTTGCATTTCTCTAATAATTAGTGATGTTGAACATCTTTTCATGTGCTTTTTGGCCATCTCAATGTCCTCGTTGGAGAAATGTCTATTTAGATCTTCTGCCCATTTTTTGATTGGGTTGTTTGTTTTTTTGATATTGAGCTGCACGAGCTGTTTGTATATTTTGGAGATTAATCCCTTGTCGGTCAGATCGTTTGCAAGTATTTTCTCCCATTTTGTGGGTTGTCTTTTTGTTTTGTTTATGGTTTCCTTTGCTGTGCAAAAGCTTTTAAGTTTAGAAAATTTGTATTTCTAACAAGTTCCCAGGTGACTCTGATGTTGCTGGTCTTTGGACCACCCTTTGAGAACCACTGACTGGAGTACAAAGTATGTATATTTGAGATGTATTCTCTTTGGGACATTGCCTTGCACAAGGAAGATTCTTACATATTTCCTCAGTGGAAAAATGCCTGTATATAACATTAAGAGTTGGTCCACCTGGAGAACAGAAATGGAGTCAGCAGCCTCAAATCTCTTTGCAAAAAGCTCACCTATTCCCACGACCACTTCCTAAATGTATATCTTTAGTCCTGACTCCAGGAAAAACAACTCATGAAAAGCTCTCTTTTCAAGGACGCCTTCCTTGATTTCTCCAACAGCGAACACTGGCTTTTTCTTTACAATCCTAGTACTTTATCTGAACCTCTCCCATGGCATTTAATACTACATAGCTTAGAGTACAGGTGCTGATGGACTTGACTTACCCCCTCACAGAAGATGTAAATCTACCTGATTCATATCAGAATCCCTTATAGCATGTTTCCATAGCGGGTGCAAAATAAAAATGTATAGAATCTAAAACCGATTAGTGAATATCTATGTGAAGGTGGCGCAGAAGTTCAAAAGATTAAAACTTGAAATAAAAAGCCTGCACCATCCATTACAATGACCACTAGCTACATGTGGCTATTTAAGTTAATAAAATTAAAAATCCACTTTCAAGCTAGAGTAATCAGGACAGTGTGGTATTGGTGAAAGAACAGACAAACAGACCAATGGTACATAATAGAGAGCCCAGAAATAGACCCACATAAATACAGTCAACTGATCTTTAACATAAATACAGTCAACTGATCTTTAACAAAGGAGCAAAGACAATACAATGGAGAAAATGTAGTCTTTTTAATAAATGGTGCTGAAACAATTGGGCATTTACATGCAAAAAATGAACCTAGACACAGACCTTACAACTTTTCATAAATATTAACTCAAAATGAATCATATTCCTAAATGCATAACACAGAACTATAAAACTCTTAGAAGGTAACATAGGAGAAAATCTAGATGACCTTGGACACAGTGATGACTTTTTAGATACAACGTCACAGGCATGATCCATGAAAGAAAGAATTGATAAGCTGGATTTCATTAAAATTAATCATTTCTGCTCTGTGAAAGACAGTGTCAGGAGAGTGAGAAGACAAGCCATAGACCAGGAGAAAATATTTCCAAAAGACATATCTGATAAAAGAATGGTATCTAAACTAAACAAATAGCTTAAAAATCAATAATAAGACAACAAACAGCCCACTTAAAAATGGGTAAAAGATCGGAAAAGATACCTCACCAAAGAAGGTACACAGATGGCAAATAAGCATATGAAAAGATGCTCCACATCATATGTCATTAGGGAAATGTAAATTAAAACAATGAGATACCACTACAAGCCTCTTAGAATGGCCAAACTTCAGAACAACAAGAACACCAAATGCTTCAGAGGATGTAGAGAAACAGGAACTCCCATTCATTGCTGGTGGGAATGCAAAATGATAACAGAGCTTTGGGACACAGTCTGGTAGTTTCTTACAAAATTCAACATACTCTTACCATATGACCCAGCAACTGGGCTCCTCGGTATTTACCCAAAGGAACTGAAAACTTATGTCCAAACGAAAACCTGCACATGGATGTTTATAGCAGCTTTATAATTTCCATAACTTGGAAGCAACCAAGATGTCCTTCAGTTGGTGAATCGAAAAATAAACTGTGGTATACCCAGGCATGGAATATTATTCGGTGCTAAAAACAAATCAGCTATTAAACCATGAAATGACATGGAGGAAACTTAGATGCATATTACTAAGTGAAAACAGCCCATCTGAAAAGGCTACATACTGCGTGACATTCTTGAAAAGGCAAACTATGGAGACAGTAAAAAGATCAGTGATGGCTAGGGGTTGGGAGGAGAGAGGGATGCATAGGTGGAGCACCGAGGATTTTTAGGGCAGTGGAACTACTCTGTATGATACTATAATGGTGGATACCTATCATTATACATTTGTCAAAACCCATAGAATGTACAACACCAAGAGTGAACCCTAATGTAAACTATGGACTTTGGGTGATAACTACGGTTCTGTGTAGGTTCATTGACTGTAACAAATGTACCACTCTGGTGGAGGATATTATTATGGGGGAGGCAGTGAGCGTGTGGAGGCAGGAGGCATATGGAAATCTGTGCACTTCTTGCTTAATTTTGCTGAACCTAAAACTGCTCTAAAAAAATAGAGTCTATTTAAAAGGAAAAAATTCAGTCACATCAACCTTATCTCAAGTGCTTAATAGCCACATGTGGCTAGTGGCCATCATACTGGATAACACAAATGTGGTTCTATTGGAGAGACTCCTCTAAGACTCCTCTAAGACTCCAAGTCACTTTCATCTATATTATGAGACCCTCACCAACTCTGCTGTAAGTGGTTGAAAAAAAAAGGTGATCAAACCCATTTTATAAATGGAAACATGGATCTTTAGAGAAGTTAAGTGGATTGCTTCATGGCAAAGTGGAGGAGCCTAATCTATAGAATAACTATGAGACATGAGAGAGTATCTAGAATCTAATAGGTATTCAATAAATTGCACTCCTTTATTTGTTGATGTATTCACAGCTTCCTTTATTTTTGTGGTGGTCTCTAGGGCAGCTGAAGCCTCATCACTGAATGCCACTTAGTTTTGGTGAACACATCTTACTTTCTCTGTAAAACACAGTAGTTTTGCTTCTCTTTTCCTTAGCACCCAGCTTAATGCCCTGCAAAAAGTAGGCACGCGATTAAGATTTTGTAAAATGACAAGATGGATGTTAACTCTTGACCCAGTGGTGCCCCCCAGCTGAACCCTAGCAATTACTCTAGTTAAATCATTAGAATACCTACTATGTACCAGACACATTCCATACCAGCCCTGACCGATAGATGTATAATGTAAAGTACACAGTAATATTATATTTTCAGTAGCCAGATTTTTAAAAGTTAAAATAGATGAAATTATTTAAATAATATATTTTATTTAACCCAATATATCCAACCTATTGTCATTTCGACATGCACTCAATATAAAATTATTAATGAGACGCTCTACATTTTTTTGTACTGTCTTCAAAATCTAATGTGGATTTTTAACATTTATCACGTATTTCAGTTTGGATCAGCCACATTTCAAGTAGTCAATAGCCACATGCAGCTAGTGGTTACTGCCTTGGACAGTACAGTTTTATACAGGATTTTATTAAAGATGCATAACAATAATAGCAAAATTTTGAGTGGCAAGCATTTTGGAAGGCTCATCTTATCTAACCCTCCTAATTACCCTCATCTATAGATGAGGAAACACAGGCGTAGAAATGGTTAGTGACTCATCCTTGACCACACTGCTAGTACGTGGCAGAGTTGGATCTTGAATTCCGGTAATAGGAAGATTCCACACCCGGCCATGGATTAATTGGGTGTCTTGAGCAAGTCACTGTAGTTTCCTCTTCTACAAAATAGGAAGAGGGGTGGAGTGGATCATCCAGAGTGGACATTGCATGCCTTCATCTTCCTTTTTATTCTGAAGCATCTGGCAAGCCTGGATCTCCTGTTCCACCCATGAGGACTTCGGATTTACACCGGTCCTCCTCTGATTTGAACAAAGTGCTGTTCTTAACCTGGACTTTTCTGGTTGGGGCTGCTCTGACCATAAACCTATAAACTTTGCAGCAGAATGGAGAGCCCCTCCCATGCCCAAGAGTGGTGCTGCATGTTCGTTTCAGTTTCTTCTATTTTCATCATATTTTCCAGCTGCAGTTTCTTTTCTTTTTTTTTTTTTTTTTTTGCGGTACGCGGGCCTCTCACTGTTGTGGCCTCTCCCGTTGCGGAGCACAGGCTCCGGACGCGCAGGCTCAGCGGCCATGGCTCACGGGCCCAGCCGTTCCGCGGCATGTGGGATCTTCCGGGACCGGGGCACGAACCCGCGTCCCTGCATCGGCAGGCGGACTCTCAACCGCTGCGCCACCAGGGAAGCTCAGCTGCAGTTTCTTGATGCTTTTTTGAAAGAAAAGAAACTTCTTGCCTGGGCACTTGGTTTTAATTTTCTGTCTTCTTTGTTCTTAGGTATGTTGTAGAAAGCTCCCCTCTCCCAAGGAAATTCTACTATATATTTCCATAATTTTCCTTCTCTCCCTCTCCCAGAAATGCAAAGAAAATAACTGTCAACATTTTTTTGCATACATAAATTTTAACAGCCTGTACATGTCAACTAATCTTTTATCCAGGAGGGAAAAGCTTATTTCAAGTGATTGAAAGTTGAAACACTTTGGTTTTCATTCTTATTGTGTAATGGAATCACTGTGTGGACATGCTACTTTATGATTAGATCATCAATTCCATTTCTCAAATCCACTAACTCTAATAAGTTCCTACTGTGTGCAAGGGCAAAGCCCCTGTTTTCTAGGAATGGATCTTCCACCAGGAAGGGTAAGGCAAATGTTCAACCAACCACAGCACAAGGCAGACCAGACGCCTTAAGAGGGGTGCACAGTACTAAGACAGTTCAAATATTTGGTTTGGGGTAAACCGGGGTGGTTGTACAGAGGAGTTGCCTTTTAGAATGGACCTCTAAAGAAAGGTAGGGATTCAATTAACAGAGAAGGCAGAAAAAAGGCATTTCAGAAGAGGCAGAGGCAACTGTGCCTGTATCCTGCACTACAAGCAGGAAGAGTAGAGAGCAGCACGTGGCCTGGTCTGAGGATTACACATGGATTGCAGGAATTATGTAAGGATGTCAGGCCGTTTAGCAAACTCCTGGCGCCAGTGTCCCGCTCCCAACCCTCCACCCATGGGAGACAGCATTCATCAATCACAGCCCACACCTTTCCAGACAGCCTCAGGAGTTCCTTCATGAGATGAGATCAATTTGCCATCCCTGGTGCAGGAGTGCAGGGATAAGTGAGGTAGAGCCTTGAATACCTTGTTGACTAGTTAGTAGTTAATTGGATAGGCGATAGGGAGCCATTAAAGTCTTGTAAGCAGGGAAGTGACATGGTGGGAAATGAGAACTATAGTTCAGGATAATGAACTTGGCAATGCTTTCTGGGATGGATTAGCATGGTTATAAGACCAAAGGCCAGTTATTTGGAAGGTTATGGTTTAGACGAGCAATAATGTCTGGAATTGGAGTGTTAGCTGCAGAAAGGAGGGGCAGATGTCAGAGAGGTAGAATTGAAAGCAACTGGCGAGTCTGGCTGGCTGTGGAGAGTGAGGTGCAGGAGTGAGAGAGGGGAGTCAAAGCCAACTCTGAGCTTCCCAGTAATGACCTTGGAATAAGAAAAAACTGGAGTCACCATCAAGAGGGGAGCCTGTGATTGAAGAGGAGGTAGGGGAGTTCTGGTGAGTTTGGGGGGGGCAAGAGGAGTCTACAGAAAATGGTTTTTAGGCTTCTGTCTTCTACAAAGCATAGGTTTTTCTAAGCCATTATCTCAGAACTCAGTACTGCAAAGTAAAATAACCATTTTTAAGCAAACACTATTGCCTTTCACAATGAACAGAGTCTAAGGAAGGCTCCCATCTTTCCAAATATTTGGAAAATTGGAAAGCCTTGTAATTAGTAATCAGGGAAGGGACATAAGGGAAGGAAAGAAATATAACCTTAATCACTGTGCTTCTCAGGTTTCAAACACTTCCCCAATCGAGGTAATTTACACTTTAGTAATAATGATTGACAGTCAAGGAATGGATCTAACTCACTTTTATTTTTCCCTTAGGGAAAGCACTTGAGTTCCCAATTGTTTTAAATTGCAGAAGCAGTAATTGTTTTAGGAAGGCAAGAGAAATGGCTTTTTGGTACCCTGACGGGAATATGGAGTCTTTCTTAACTAAGGTCACTGGGGCCATACTCAGGATGGTCTTTCCTGGATAAACAAATACCAGTTTAGTCAAAGGAAAACAGCAAAAGAACCCATACAGGCCCAGGGGAATACATTTCACCCAAAATATTAATAAGTTGCTATTGGTACCTAAAATGAGCCAGAGATCTTTTTTGAGCTGCTTGCATCCCAAATAGAATCATTGGTGAAATTTAATATGAAAAGTTTCTTTTCTCCCAAATATTCTAAAATAAATATGGAGCAGTGGATGTATTTTGACATACTTGCTGTCCCAGAGGAACTTATTTATTAAACCGTGCACTTTGATATATTTGTTTACTTAGAAAAGTCAAGTGTGACAAGCTAGGTCAATTGCATCAAGAACGTTATTAACAGGCTGACCCATTGTAAATGGCGTGAAGGCTGCTCTGGAAATCTGTGCTTTGATGTATGGGGAAACCGACACATCTGATTTGGGAGGGAGGAGACAATCATGGCATTGTTTGTAGGCGCCAACAGACAGGCAAAAGCCAGGGATCCTTGCAGAGACTGGATTAAGGTATCAGAACTGTTCACATCTCATTTGCATCACTCCGAAGAGTGGACCACAGGTTTTGCTGATTAACACACAGACCATGGCAAATAGCATTGTGTATTTGAAATCAGACCAAGATCAGTAACAGTAACACAAACCATGTGTGAAGTTTGGCATATGGAGGTTCCTCTTAAGCTATTATCTAACTAGGTTTTTTTCCTCTTATTTTTCAAAAGCATTTTTCCAAACCAGGAAGTTAGCAAAAGCAAAATGTTCCCCAATTCCCTCCCCACCCCCTAAATACTCATATTTATGCCACCTTCTGGTATATAACAATATTTTTTGTTGTCAAAATTTGCAAGGCTTCTGAAAGGAAGGTGGGTGTGTGTTAAAAATGTACTGATTTCATCAGTGTCTCGGCAGGCAAGAGGAAATGGTGGATTGAGTATTGAGGCAGGGAAATCAGGCTACTACCACCTGAATATTTTCCACTCATCCAATTTGTATTTTTCCTTCATAGTGGAGTTCCAGATCAAAGTAACACTGATGCAATTCTTCACTACCCTTGGGTTTCATTAAGCACCCGATGGGCGTGTTTCAGTGGAAGGGGGGACTGCAGAGTGATGCCTACAATGATGTAACTTATTAAAAGCTGTTAATTACCTGAATTTTATCATTCAGATGTTATTAACGCCTCTCCAGTATATCTTTTATGGATGAGACTGTACATTTTATAGCAATAGTACCAGTGGGAATTGACAATTAGCAGCCATGCATTAACTAGATGCAGTGTGGCATATTTCATCCAGTTTAGATAGTCCTCGACCAATCAAGCCAAAGTTTTCTTTAGTAGAAATTGCCCTGCCAAGTGGTTTCTGGATCCTTCTCGGAGGAAACAGCAAAGGAGCTGACAGCGACCGCTTTCAACCATACCAAAAATTGGCTATCCATGGCAATTCTAGACTCACAAATTGTGTTTTAGACACATATATCAAACCAATACTGGAAACCCACTGGACGTCCCATGGCAAAGTAAGAAGTGCCACGTCCTCCGTCCTCCCATCCTCTGCCTTCCTTGGGGTGTCAGCCCAGGTCTAATTCCTTTTTAGTTTCTCCTCAGTCCTGGTCTGGGCTGGCAGGGAGCTACCTGCGATTCCCCGACGTGGATAACCGGATTTGTCTCTTCCCAGGCTGGCTGCGGATGGGGACAAGTTCTGCTCCCGAGAGAGTCTCAGAAGTAGGTACAGAATCATTGTCGCCAATCTTAATTTCTGTCCCTGGGTTAGGGGGGCACGTGAGGCTCTCCCCTCCTCCTCCACTCTTTTCCCCACCTCCCAAAATTGGCAGCCAGTCCGTGGCTCCCGGTCTGGGGTCTGGAGGGTGGGGAATGTGGGTGTGGGGACCGGCTGGAGAAGCTCTCGCTAGCGCTGCCTGTGGCCAGACCCGCCTCCCATTCCTTCTCCGGCGCACACACACGTCCACCCAGACACACTTCGCGCGCTCCCTTGCGCTCTCGCTCGCCCGCCCGCCGCCGCCTGCTCTCTCCTTCCCCGGTCTCCTTCTCCGTTTTTTTTTTTTTTTTTTTTTTTTTTTTTTTTTGGTACCATAGAGTTGCTCCGAAAACAGAAGATAGAGGGAGTCTCGGAGCTCGCCATCTCCAGCGATCTCTACATTGGGAAAAAACATGGAGTCAGCTCCGGCAGCCCCCGACCCCGCCGCCAGCGAGCCGGGCAGCAGCGGCGCGGACGCGGCCGCCGGCTCCAGGGAGACCCCGCTGAACCAGGAATCCGCCCGCAAGACCGAGCCGCCCGCCCCGGTGCGCAGACAGAGCTATTCCAGCACCAGCAGAGGTAGGAGGCTGCGAGAGGGGCTGAGGAGGGGGCGGCGGGAGCCCCGGCGCGGAGCTGGGGGCGGCCGGGAGCGGGCGCCCGGGTCGCAGGGTCGGGGGCCGCGCGCGAGCCTGCGCCGGCGCCCAGAGCTCGGAGCACCCCCTTCCCCTCCCCCCTCCGCCCCCCAGAAATGTTGCAAACTTTTGCAGCCCGTTCTCGGGTTGCGGGAGGAGAGGGGGGCGGGGGACGCGGCAGGAGGGTTGACAGCCGGCGGGTTCACCCCCTGGCTTTGATTTTTCTGCAAAGAGAGGAGGGAAGCCGCGTTGCCGAAATTAAATACGCTCCCCAAAATACGGAGAACCGGAGAGTGGGGGCCCGGGAAAGAAACTTTTAAAGCGGCAGTGTCCTTTAAAAAGGAAAGGAAGGGGAAAAAAAATTCTGTTTATGACCACCCTCTTCCCCCTTTACCTTTTCTCCTTTGACAGTCTCGGCCCCGGCAGCCCGAGACGGGGTGGGTTTTCGGCTCCCCGCAGAGCTGAGGGGGGCGTTAGGATTGAGTGACCAGGGCAGCCCCGGGGGTGGAGAGGGGGCGCTCCTGGACTTGGGGGGCGACGTGGGCACCTTCTCTGGAGCACGGCGGTGGGTTTGGGATTTGGAGATTGGGCTGGAGGAAGCAGGGTGCGGGCGCGCGAGGTGCTCGCCAAGTTGTCTGGCGGGCGCGGCGAGGGGAGATGCTCAAGTTTGCAGACCCGGGGCTCGCAGCCGGACGCCCAGCCTGGCGGGGGGCGTGTGCGCGTCAACTCGCCCGGGGCGGCGGTCCTGTGGGGCGCTCCACGCGCATTCGGAGTGAGCGTCTGCAAAAGCAAACAAGCAGAAAAAGAAAGATCGCCAAGGCACCCAAACTTATTTCTGACCTGGGAAATCCTTCCCTCTCCAAGCGTTTCTGCAAGAACCTGGGAATGGTCAGTGCGAGTTGAATGCTGGTTGGATAGTGCGATCGATGTTCCCCCCTCCCCGGGCGATATTTACACACTTCATTTTGTAGAATGTGTGTGCGTGTGTATGTGTTTGTTTGCAGGGGGCTCCATTGCCTCCTCCTTGCTTTTTTTTCTAGTTAAAGTGGAGTGTTGGGGAAAGCTCACCCTCTTCCTTCTTTCTTAAAGGTATCGGCACCTGATTGGGGTTTTTCTTGGGGATGGGGGATTATTTATTTGAATGCGCCTGGAGTTTGCAAACAACAGGAGGAAGCTACGGCTTTAATTACTGTTGTTAATAATGTATAAATCATCCCTGTCACTCTAGAGGAAGCAGGCTCGCGCGAGCCGCCCAGGGCTGGGGGGCAGAGAGGATCTCCAGCCCTGGCTTGGGCACTGGCCCAGCGGGCCCCCTCCTCTTGCCACTCGGCTTCTGGCGGCGACTGGGGAGGGCGGGAGAGGCGAGTGTGGGCCCCCGGGAGCCGCTCCCTTCTTCTCGATGTTAGAGTTGGAGGTAGGAATATGGCTGATCATGTGCTAGCTGTTTTACAGTATTCCCCCCCTACACACACACCTTAGCCACACCCCCTGTCCAGGCGCTTTCCCATTCACGGAATTCGAGTACAGTAAAAGCCATCAGGATGACACACGCGAAAAACATTTAATTAAAGGCGATTTCGAAAGAGTGAACACATTGAACTGCGGTTTGAGCGGGAGGGAGGGGGCAGCGAGGGTCGGGAGTACAGGGAGGGGGATCGGGGCTGGGGGCCGGGACCTGCAGCTAGCTCGGGGAGTTTGTGTGTGGCGAGCTTTTGGCTGCACAGAGTATATTTAGACCTGAGACGGTGGATTTGGAATGCGAGCGGGTTATGTAACAGGGTTAATCAGAAACACTGGAGAAAATCCCCTTCATGTGTTTCTGAGGCTTTTTTTTTGGGAAGGGTGGGGGACATAGTATGTAGGAAGCCACAGTAATTTCTGGTTTGTGCTGCCACCCCCCTCCATCTTAGGCATCCCCCTCCCGTGTGTTATTAGCATCTTCAGGTGTCATTCTTGCCAGAAGGTGTTCTTGCAAGAGATCGGGGTGGCAGGCTGCAGAACCGACTAGCAAATCCGTAACTGGCTGTTCTTGCAAATTATATAACGATGGGGCTTTCAGTACCACCAGCCCTCTAGGCTCAGCAACAAGGGGAGAGGGACAGCGTAGGGGTAGGATGCATCTTGCACAGCTGACCTGCTGACCCACATCCCCTTGCCCCCTAGAGGGCCACCCCCCACTCTCTCTTCTTTGAACCAACCTCTTGTCCATCCCTCCAGAGATTTAATGGGGGGAGGGAGAGGAGGTAAGGCCCAAACACTCAACTCACATCCTGCACGCAGGCACTAGGTTATATAACAGTCTGAATGGAAAAAGGAAGGTCAGAGATGGAGGCATCCTTTAGCTAACACAGCAGTAGTAATAGCTTCCAGAAATTATGTGCATTTGCAGACTTTAACCTCAGATGTACTGTCTGCTCCTCAGGGGTACCAACCTTTGAGAGTGAGAGCTAGGGAGAAAAAGAGAGAATGTGTAAGTATGCTTGGTAGATGAGAGTGAATTGAAAATGGGAAATGTTTGGGTTTTCAGATGATGTAATGGAGTTGGCAGAATATGCGAGTCGGCTCCCAGAGTGTAAGCAGCAAGAAAATTGGAGCTGGCATCCAGTATTAATGTTGCATAAATTACAATATCGGAAAGAAATTAACCTACACACTAGGTGATTATGGCTTTTTAATACTTAAAACATAAAGGCACACAACTCAAAAGGAAAAGCAAACATCATCACCTTAAAATTAGCATTTTCAACCTCAAGGAGGGTTGAGTGGAGTCCTTGGTATTGGGTGAAGTGCGATGCTTTCTGATTCGGAAGATGCTTTCCAGAGAGGTAGCTGGATTAGCTTCCAGGCAGCCAGTGTTTGCAGTCCACAGAGATTGTGGTCAGGATTCTCGTGACATTGAGGTGACCTCATGAGACATTACCTAGGTAGACTTGAAGCTGTTGCTGGATTCTGAACACCTGGGAATCTACCGGTGAATGGGCCATGCACCATGAGTGCCTGAGCTTCCAAAGTCAGATGTGTGACTTCATAATCTGAAAGACGGCCTCCCCTTCTTCTGAAAACTGGGCAGGGAATGTTAGCAGTTTTAGTGGAACTGTTCCGTTTTCTGGGTGCTATTAATGATGGCTGGTGTCGTTCAGTTCCATCTTTTCAGCCCAATGAAAGGGAAGAAAGAAAGGCAAGAGGCAACATGGGAAGTAAGAATGAAGCGGAAAAACTACAGCGAAGCTTTAATTTAACAAGGCTTTCAGGGACGTCAGGGAGCCATGAGCATTGTGACATAACTGTTGTTAAAAACCCTCTTTCAAGTAAGTCAGAGAAAAACAAATATCGTACATTAATGCGTATATGTGGACTCTAGAAAAATGGTACAGATGAACCAGTTTGCAAGGCGGAAATAGAGACACAGATGTAGAGAACAAACGTATGGACACCAAGGGGGAAAAGGAGGGGGTGGTGGGAGGAACTGGGAGATTGGGATTGACATGTATACACTAATACGTATAAAATAGATAACTAATAAGAACCTGCTGTATAGAAAATAAATAAAATAAAATTTAAAAATTCAACCCCCCCTCCCCAAAAACAAAACCCTCTTTCAGAATCTCCTTATTATGCGCATGCCAGAGCTTACGTATTCTACCTCCCTAAAGTTTACCTCACGGAGCTGTGTGTCACGCAGTCGGTCTGGAACACCAGTGCTGAAGGTGGAAGGCTTTTAGGGCAGGCTGACCTAAGGGAAAAATCGAAGCCAAAAGATGGGATTAACACTGAAAAGCTCAGTTGGGTTGAGATCGAACCCCCTGGAAGCTCGCTTAGATTGACTTAAAATCAGTTAAGAAGGCCTGTAGTTTATATGGAGCCCTGAGGACTTCTAGACCCACAGAAGTCTTTGCCTTTCAAAGTGCTGTGCCACCATTCCCCTCCTCAGTCTTGACTGATTCACTTTCTGGTCTGCTTTCTTGCCTGGCAATTTCGAGCACTTTCTAGAGATTGATTCTTGAATCAGCTTTTCTTATGTGGACCTGGCTCTCCCCAGGGAACAAATGATGCCCCATAGTTTGAAGGAGCTACTGGCTGGGATAAAATTCTTTGCCAGAGGGATGGAATAATTATTTTTTAAACTAAGGGGCTTTTATTTTCCAGTAAATTGCTCATAAAAACATTTATAATTGTACCCTTTAAAAATGTAATAGAATAATTTTAGAAAATGCATTTGATGATGATTATGAGAAACTTTTCTGTTGCTTCCTTCTTCTTTCTTAAAAAGAATTGAATTATATTAATCCAGAAGTCAAATCCTGAGTGGCTAAAAACATTTACAACAGACTCTTTTTTTATGTTAGTCACCTGCTGGAATTTTCCAAAACCTACCGGTGTTAAGAGGAGCCCTTGGCTTTAGAAAACGTCTCTGTTTCCGAAACTGAAATATGGAGCCTGCATGGACCAGACCCCTCACCAGGAGACCTTAAGCTTGTGTTTTCCAGGTAGCAGAGGTTGGGGCGGGGGGTACAAGCGCGAACTGCTGGTTCCACATCAGACTCCTAAATGGGATGTAGGGAGTTGTAGGAATGTTAATCGCAATAGCTGTTGCCTCCGGATGCAAATGTTCTGGGGTTTTTGGTGACAGCTGAATCACTTTTGAAAGCAAACTGATCCCTGTCCAAAGCTAACCTTTGGAATGTGAGTGAGACAAGCCCAGGGGTTCTTCTCCTTGGGCCATACTCTTGTCAGTTCTGAGTTAAGATTCACGTTTTTCTCCCGATTCTCCCATTCTTGCCTTTAGGAAGTTGTGATGTGATGTTGGAAGGACAGACTGAGTTGGGTGTCACTTCGAATTCCGTTGGTGTGGTGTGGTCCCTAACAGCACGTGCCACTTTTTCTGAGGGTGTCCCCCGCCCCCCCTGCCCATCTTCCTGGTCTCCTTGATGAATGGTGCTTCTATGCTTATCAATGTATTTCTGTGTCTGTGGAAGCAAAATACTTAACTACATTTCAGGTGTCTGGGGAAAGAGTTGTAATGTGATTGCCCCACGCACAAAATTTTTTACAGAGAATGCTGCTCTCCTCAAATGACGTATCCTGCTGCTTGCTCTCTTTGTCTTTCACGAGCCAGAGTGCTGGGACTCTGAGGTAGACATCATCCTTCCCCTCCTCAAGGAGATTCCTGACCCATTCGTCCCAGACTAGTAATAGGTTCTTCCAGAGCAATAAGAGTCTGCTTTGAAAGACCTTGAGGTGCCAGAGTGAACACCAACCTAGAATGTGCAATACCTTTCTGAAAATGAAGACTGTCTTCCTTGCTGAGAATTTAAGAACAGCCTCCTCTTTATTTCTCTCTCTGCCTCTCTGAGGTGTTCTCTCTTCCATCATTTAAAACAAAATGCTTTTTTACAAGGGTGGTTTTTTTTTTTGGTATCTCATTCGGAATGGAAAGTGTTGGTTTGAAATGAGCTGTTAAAATGTTCATCCATCTTATTAAGCTGTACATTAAGAAAAATACAGTTGAATATTGTGAACTAACACCTCCCCAAAACTCTACAGGTAGACAGTGTTGGAGCATTGATTAATATACAATGAACCATGATTTTTCTATAAGAGTACCAAGGTGTCACTGATGAATTAGTTTTTCTGGCTAACAGGAGATTGAGCAGAAATATTTTTTGTCTTTTCCTTACTGAATGTGTTTTTAAAGTGTGCTGATCCCCTTTCCTGCCCTGGAAAGAACATTGAGGATGTAACTGAATCTTTCTTGGAGGTTCGAGGATCTTAGGGTACCACAGTGTCACTGTCCTGAGGATGAATTATGATTGTACATTATACAACTGTAAATGGAGACAGTATCAGAAATTGGGCTAATCTGTCCTGATCCCTGCTTGGAAATTGTTTTCTTTTTTTGGTTAAATCTTCAATATTAGTATGTTTTGTTACTTGCCTCCTTTGTTCTCTGAGTTGCAAGTTGCAGAATAGAAATTCACATCAGCTAGTTGATTCTGATTAGTTGATATTTTTACTTTAGAGGAAAATTTCAACCTGAGTCTAGACCTTAATTCTTTCTCTAGCAGTGTAGAGGATGTAAAATCATCCTTAAGAATTTAGGAAGGCTATTTTATTTACAGATAAGTTATGTGCTGTATTACCGTAGCATTATGTAACTTCTCCCCTGTGTAGTGGTAGATAGAAATGTCAGCTATTTTTGCCTCTCCTTTAGATGAGTTGAAGGGGTTTCATCAATCCTGAAAGTTAGGAAATTCTAGGGTTAGAAGGAAGACTTTCAAGAATGTCAATAAAGAACAGTTAGATTTCTCCAGAGGAGACTCTCTCTCTCCAAGCTTAGGCCCTTGTTCACTGGACCAGTGTGGAAAGCATCCCAGGTACTACAGTCAGAGACTGACTTTCTCAAGACCGTCCCACCTGATTTAATGGTAGTCTGTGGTTATCTTATATCTTTTTTTTTTAACATCTTTATTTGAGCATTATTGCTTTACAATGGTGTGTTAGTTTCTGCTTTATAACAAAGTGAATCAGCTATACGTATACATATATCCCCATATCTCCTCCCTCTTGCGTCTCCCTCCCACCCTCCCTATCCCACCCCTCTAGGTGGTCACAAAGCACCGAGCTGATCTCCCTGTGCTATGT